TATAAGTTTTTCACCTTTCCGAAAGCTACCGCTACATGGTAAGCATCTTCGATAGAACGTTCAGTTAGACATAGTGAGGTAAACTTATATCTATGTATAGTCATAGGAGGGCGATATCACGCCCTTTTTCCGAAATTCCAAATAATTTACTTCTTTTTAAGGTATTGTTGATAGTTTCAATTTTGAGTAAATTAGCGTTCTTAAATTTCGAAATATCGAATCAAGCATTTCTGAAATTTACCGTTATATGAAAAGTGGCCGTAATTTTAGTCCGATTTCAATAATTTTCAACGATTTTCTTTTATGTGGAAAGCACAATAATCATACCAAATATTTATAATACTCCTATTTTTCGTCTAAAAATAATGGTAAATATCAATTTTGGGTTAATAAGCTTCAGTAGTTACTAAAATATCGCAGTTTTCGTATTTCTGAAAATTACCGTTATATAGGATTTAGGCGTGGTTATTGTACGATTTTGCCCATTTTCAATACCATCTGTCCGTCTCAATTTTTACTCGAGTTATCGTGTACACAGACGGACGGACAGACAGTAACCGCTTAATCGATTTCTCTTTTCATTCTGATCATTTATGTATACATTTGTCTATATCTATCTCGATTCGTTTTGCCTGTTACAAACAACCGTTATGTGAACAAAGTTATAATACCCTTGTACACAAGTGCGCTCGGGTATAAAAATACCCGTAAATAAACTGAATAAATCCGACAAACTTAAATAATTTCGAAGTTAAAGCTAGAAATGCGCGTTAACGCAAAGGAAATAACTTTTTTTGTATGGGGAAAACTGCCTAGAGCCGTCAGCAAAAAAAAAAAAAATTAATCAACGCGATTTCTTAGCCACTGTTATATTATAATTGTATGGGCTATAAATCAGCATACCAGAAATTAAAAAAAATAATAAGTTTAAAATTTTGATAACAATTCGTTAAATTTTCCGCAATTCTGTATACAGTTTGAAACTTTGACTTATATGGTTTTGTTAATGAATGAACTATACTTTTGCAACAAATTATAATTTGCAAAACATTGCGAATATTTTAAAAAAAAAACAAATGTAATTCGGCTAAAGTAAAGTAAATCAAATCTTCGTTAAAGCTGAAAGGCATCCGCTAGGTCATTTATTGAACAAGAAGTAAATTCAACATTTGAAGATCAACAGTGGTTGGCAAATTGTCATAGCAATTTTTTTATGTACATATTTAATTAAATTTCGAAAAATTTGTCATTTAAGAGTTTTCCATGTTTGACCATCACACTATTTTAAACCAGTATTTTTTACTGTCGCTTCACGCTTATAAATAAAAAAAATTAAACTATAACTCAGGTCACGATGTAGAGAACAAAGGTGGCGTCCATCTCGTAACGCTATTCCGCTCTCAGTGAATTTGACAGAACCGCTGCTTGCTTGACTTCACACTTTACGAAATTTCTTCTTCTTTTTGCATTCTTGCTCGCGTTTTGACATTCCTCTCTCGCAAATGCGCCAGTCACACAAAAACTATTCTCAACAAGTAAGAAAGTCTAAGTTCGGGCGGAGCCGAACATTAGATACCCGGCACAAGTATTAAATATATGTTTTTTACCTTTCCGAAAGCTACCGCTACATGGTAATCCGGGGTGTATCAATTTTGAGTAAATTAGCGTCCTTAAATTTCGAAATATTGAAGTTTCAAGCATTTCTGAAATTTACCGTTATATGAAAAGCGGCCGTAATTTTAGTCCGATTTCAATAGTTTTCAACGTTTTGCTTTTATGTGGCAAGCACAATAACCATACGGAGTTTGGTACAAATTGGTAGAACGGTTACCGAGATACATATATGTGATCAGAAGTGGGCGGTGCCACGCCCAATTTCCAACATTTTATCATACGCGTATTTCTTGGTAAAGAGTTGTTGCAAGCATCAATTTTGAATAAATTTCCTTTAATATTTACTGATTTATCGAAGATTTTGTATTTCTATAAATTACCGTTATATGGGATGTGGGCGTGGTTATTGTCCGATTTTAAAAAATTTCGGCCATTTGATATGGTGTACCAAGGCCAACAACTGTGCCAAGTTTGGAAGAAATTGGTGCAGCGGTTACCAAGATATACACATGTAACCATAAATGGGCGTGGCTACGCCCATTTTCCAAAAATTTATAATATTCTTATTTTTAGTCTAAAATTTATTGTAAATATCAATTTTGAGTTTTCGTATTTCTGAAAATTACCGTTATATGGGAAGTGGCGTGGTTACAGTCCGATTTCGGCCATTTTCAATACCAACCTACCTTGAATAAATGGAAACCTTGGATAATGGAAACATCTTCGAAATTCGTAATGTTGGTATGCCTGAATCCGACGTAGCTGTAATTTGTATGTATTTGTCGAAAATTTTCTACGAAGAGCAACTGGTGTCGGACCGTAGCGAATTCTTTTAAAATATCAATAAAATAAAGTGTGTAAAGGAAAAAATATGTAAGTTAAAGTGTGAATGGAAAAAAATGGATTATTGTTAAATATTTACAAAATTATCAGGACGAAGATCACAACAAATCGGTCGCAATACGAAAAAATGGTAGAATGCATGACCGAAAGGCCGGACATTGCTCGCGGCTTTGCAAAAGGAGCTAAAGGGGATGAATTGGAGTTTTGGGAAAGCGTCGCTCAGCAGCTAAACAGCTTAGGCCCTCCGACAAAAGATGTATCCAGCTGGAAAAAGGAGCGGATAAAATTTTAAGAGCATAAAATTTATTTATCATAGTTTTCCTTATATCAATACTATTTCTAGGTATGGCTCGGTTATAAGTGCTGCATTAAAAGAAAGCTTTCCGCCAATAAAGCAGAGACGAGGGCAACTGGTGGTGGACCCAACAGAATGCACAATTTCAATGAGTTGGAGGAAAAAGTGATAGAGTTGACGGGCTTGCACACTTCCACATCGGGGATCAATGGAGCTGTCTCTTTTGGTGTGGTAACAACACAGACGGTTACCCAACCGGTGGTGGAACCTGCGGCAGTCATTCCTATGCCAACTGAGCCAGACAATGCCAATGTGCAGAGGCGTTCCCCTCCGGTAAATAAAAACGACACGGCCACTTTGGTACAGGAGCAAATAAATTTGCAACGAAGCTACTACCAAAAAAGTTTGGCCTTTTTGGAACGCCAGGCTGAGTCTGCAAACGAGCTGGCAGATAACGTGCGACGCATGTACCAAGTACAAGAAAACATGCATGACATGAAGAAGGAAAAATTGCGTGAATTAAAGAGGTACAATATTGAAATGGAGGCCCTTAAAAGAAGGGAGCTTGATTTGCAGGAAAAATTACTGCGGATACAAGAAAGAAGCCAGCAAAAATTAACTAATGGATATATTTTTTTTAATATTTCTTTATTTTTGAATTTAATTTAATTTTGCACTGAGCTGCGGATTTTTTAATTTTTTTTATTTAAAGATTATTGGATTTAAGACTATTAGATTTAAGAATATAACTGAACTAAAGAAGTGAACTAAGGTTTGTGATATCTGTATAAATTATTAGATTTAAGAAAAGAACTGAACTAACGCTTGTGATATATGTATACACCTATTAGATTTAAGAAAAGAACTGAACTTAAGAGATGAACTAAAGGCGCTGGCCCAATGCAGGCTTGCTTTGCACGCCTTACTTACTTTAATTTGCTTTGATTTACTTCAAAAACTCGTTTGGCCAAATGACGGCTTGGAACGCTGTCAAAGCTACCAGCTGTGTAGTTAAAAAATTAAGGTCTGTTCCCTTACACTAAGAATAATTTTCCCACAAAATTCAAGAAAACTAAAAAAAAATACAAACAATCTTTTCAGATTTATTTTTAAATTTGAATGCATTTCAAAGGAATGATAATAATTATACATATATAACTATAGGTACATTTATTAAAAACAAAAAAAATCCAATTCTTCAAGAGACGACTGACCAGTAGTTTGACAACATAAATATCGCTAGCTAGCAAGAGAAATTAAGGATTAATGTACTTGTTTTATTTTTTCTTATTTATATTCAATGAAAGGCAAATTTTCTAAGTCCAGAAGAGGCCCCGAAATTCCGATAAGGCCAAAATAATACGAAATCTTTTAATAAAGATCGAATCCTTTTGATTCGTATGGTGTTTTGCTTTGCTTTAAACACGCAAAATGTTGTATTCAAAGTTCCTGTAAAATTTGTAAAAATGGACTTAGCAACTTTTCAGCCAGCGATATGTTAAATATAAATATGGAAACATGTAATCATTTTTATTAAACTTTGAATAACTTATATTATATATATTTTTTTTAATTACGTAAAAAAAATTTTGTACATAAAAGTATGCAGCAGTTTGTTTGAAATGATTTAGAACGGGAACATACCTTTTTGTCAAAAGCCTACGAAACGCTTTCAAATGAAACATTTGCCTATTTGAAACTTTGAGGCGCTTAAAGCAAGTGAAGCAAAGCTGCCATTTGGCCAGCCTTCATACATTTTAGTATATTCCAAATAACTTTTGACAGTTCTCAAAGCGAGGCAAGCAAAGCAAGCCTGCATTGGGCCAATACCTTAACGCTTGTTATAACTGTATATATGTACAAACTATTAGATTTAAGAAAACAACTGATTTTTTTGTATATTTAGTTTTAAGCAAAGAACTGAATTTATTTTAAATTTTTTATATCAAAAAAATATGAAGTACAAAGTTATGGGATTGTTTTCATTAGTTAGGTAATGATCTCAAAATTCGCATTCTTATGTCTGATGCTTCTCTGGAAAATTCTGATGGCGCTTCCTCTTCATTTACATCTTGATATTCATCATCCATAATATCAGGTGTATTATCTTCTACGTTGTAGTGGATGCACATGTTATGCAAAGCGCATACCACATTAATTATTTGTACCACTTTTTGGGGCGAATAATGTAGTTGGCGAGCACCTAGCAGGCATCGAAATCTATTTTTCAAAACGCCAATGACTCTCTCGACTATGTTGCGCGCTTTACTGTGCGTTTTGTTGAAGGCGCTTTCTCTACTTCCTGCCACAGGAGAACGGAATGGTGTAATTAACCACGGCTGTAATGGATATCCAGCATCGCCTGTTAAACAAAATATTTTTATTTATATTTAACACATTTTGCTCTCATTCCACTTATAACATACCTAATATCCAAGTTGTTTTCTCTCCTTACCGATATCTCTCTTCAAAATAGGTTTTTGCAGCGCTTACATTCCACACATTTGAGTCGTGGCTACTGCCTGGAAACCGAGCATCAACGCACCTTATTTGCATCTTGTTATCGCAAATCTATTTAATAAATTTACGATAAATTGCACGTACAAAATCACTTTGCTCTTGTGGTTTTACTTACCACCATTGCATTTAGGCTGTAGTATCCCTTACGATTGTAGTACAAATACGGTTCGTCTGCAGGAGGAAGTATTTTAATGTGCGTGCCGTCCACACACATAATAACGCCAAGGAATTGCGTTCTCCTGTAAAACCACATTTTGGCTCGTTCATTCTCCTCCTCCGTCATTGACAATTTAATCCATACTGGGCACAGTCGGCGTTCCAAGATGTTTAAAGTTCTTGTCAATGTTTTTGAGAACGTTGATTGCGCCAACACCCACATCAAAATCTTTCCCAACACCGTGTTGGTAGCTTCCTTCAGCGAAAAACCTCAAAACGGCCATCAATCTACTTAGAGGAGTCACCGATGATGATTTTACACTTCGCCCAAGCTCTTCCTCCATAATTGTTAAAACGCTTTTAAATGCGTCTTTGTTGAGGCGGAAATTTTTTACAAATCTTTAAATATTTAAACGATTATTTTATATCATTTAAGCTAAATGGATCAGAACTGTCTCGTAGCAATCTCCTTTGTATATTAATGCAACAGTTGACTGCAGCATGTTCTTCCTCCTGAGACAAAAGTGCACCGGCCACTGAATCCATTCTATTTTACTTAATTAAAGAAAAGCTTTTTCAAATACGATTAAACAATTTTTTTTTAATTTCACTGTTCACTTGCGATTATATTTATTTTGATTTGTTTCTGTCAAAGCAGCTGATTAAGAACTTCGAATTTCACTATTTTAGTTGGCAACGCCGTTGATAGTTACGATCGGATTACAGCATACCAATTTTCGAATTTTCGGAACGGAGCTACGAATTCGTAACTACGAACTTTCGGGTTACAGCATAGGGGTGTATATCTATCTCGATTCGTTTTGGCTGTTACAAACAACCGTTATGTGAACAAACTTAATATACCCTTGTGCACAATTGCGCTCGGGTATAAAAATCCTCTCTGATGGACGCAATCTTGTATTATATCATTCTTGAACTCAGGTGTTATCCAGAATTTCAATGTTAACAACTTCTATGTATTGAAAGATAGGTTTCCTAAAAAAATTAATTTCAAATGTGTTTTTCCTAAAGTTTGTTCACACGATTGGTACATTTGTACAAATTTCAAAAACTTTTTATTTGGAGCTAAATATTTCCACAAAAATATAAAAAATTGGGAGGCGGCAATTTCTTTAGCAGTCACACGATTGGTACAGCACATAAATTTAAAATTCATTAGGAAACAACCAATCTACCAATCTACACGATATTTTGGGCTAATGCCCAATCGTGTGATCCGGTCTTTACGCATAGTTCCGAATACGCAAATTGGTTCATAATTTTTATGTCAGCTCAGGAATGATAGCATTTAGATTGTACAAAGGAACCTTTATGAAAATTCTTTCAATTATTTGGCGGGCTCAAATTAGCTATAAAAAGGGCAGCCCTGCTCTAAAGTGATCTTTATGGGGTTAACATTTCTGATGACCTCTAACTCATGCTAGTGCTTGAACATATGTATGTATTTATATCTTCTTAAATGAATAATAACACTATGCGACAGTCAAAATCGGGATGGGATGAAACCAACGGGAAATGTTATATCGGTCAAAAACAACTTATACGTGGCCCGGCGTTTCGCTGGGTCACGTCTAGGAATCGAGATATATCGATTTGAAGTTAGTAACTATCATATAGGGGAAATTGTCACCTTTGGTGGTCTTTTTTTTGACATAACTCGAGAACCACTAGTCCGATTTTGCTCAAACAAATTAAAAAAAATTAAAAATTACAATTCCTTTAATCTGTTAATATAACGTTTTTCTATATACTCAACAGTTTTGCCGGTAAAAATAAATGTATGAAGAAAAAAAAAATTATTTTTGCCTAAAAATTAAATTTTTTTTTTTTAATTCCAAGTCCTGACAGATAAACTTCTTTTTTTATTGAAACAATGGATCAATCGGATTTCACCTATAAACCAACACCAGAAGCCGGCCCATCGAACAAAATAATTCCAATATCACAAGCAAGAATGGACAAGATTGTTGCAGAATTAAACCTTTCTCAACGTGAAGCAGAAAAACTTGCCCAGCTTTTGAAAGAAGGCAACAATTTGGAGCCTAATGTCAAAGTCACCGGATATCGAAGACGACAATTGCTATTCCAACGGTACTACACACTCAACGAAGGGAACACATTTGTTTACTGCCACGATATAAAGGGACTGATGGAGGCGATGGCCATTAATTATGTCGCAGCTGATTGGCGAATGTTCATCGATTCTTCGAAATCAAGCCTGAAAGTCGTTTTGCTACATAAATATAATAAAAAACCAAGCATTCCCATTGGCTACAGCACAGACATGAGCGAAACATACGATTCCATGAAAGTAATTTTGGATAAAGTTTGCTACACTGATCACATGTGCCGGATCAGTTGTGATCTGAAAGACGTGGCGATGCTAACGTGTGTCTTTGGGATACCCGATTTAAAGGAAACCAATACGAAACGCATGACTGGCTTGCTCGAGATCCAACGGAGAAAGGACACAACTGCGTAAATGATCCACTGGTGCCAATGGAGAACGTCCTCATGCCCCCTCTCCATATCAAACTGGGAATCGTAAAAAATTTCATCAAGGCCATTGTGAAGCAACCGAAAATTCTTGATTGTTTGAAAAATATTTTCCCACCAATAAGCGAAGCAAAATTGAAGGAAGGTGTTCTGAATGGGCCGGATATACGAAAGCTCATGAAATCAAAGGAATTTAAAGGTGCTTTAGACGGTAATGATTACTTTGCGTGGAGGGCAGTGAAGAAAGTTATACGATATTTTTTGGGAAGTACGCGAGCACACAATTACCCCGCTCTTGTGACCAAGATGTTGCACTACTTCCAGAAAATTGGAGTGAATATGTCCCTCAAAATTCACTTCTTGCATCACCATCTCGAATACTTCAGCAAGCAGCTAGCCTCAGAGTCGGATGAACATGGCGAGCGCTTCCATCAAGTGGCAATGCCAATGGAAACGCGATATAAAGGCAAAAGGCTCGATTCGCTGGTGGCTGAAATTTGTTGGTGGTCGCAAAAGACGTACGATCCCGACAATGAAGAAGAAGAAGAAGAATATACAATGGGAGTTTCCTCCGAGGGTAAGTCACAAAAATGAAGTTAACTGACTGATTAAAAACACTTGATTTTTTCCAGATGAAGACAGATCCTCATCCGATACAGACTCTGAACAAGGGGGCGAACCACCACGCAAGAAAGTAAAGGGCGCAAACAAACGAAAATAAGTTTTGCGTTCATCGATTTTTATAACCTATGTATCTATGTAATAATCTAATAATTACCTGTAATAATTTTTAATTTTACGTGTTAATAATAAATAATAAATATTATCCAAATTCATTGAAACATAAAATCAATATTCTTGTCAAAATGAGATACCTTCACTTAATTGTGAATAAAAGCGAAACGCGTCCATCGATTTTCATGATCTATGTCTCATTTTGCTTAAAGGTTATGTGACTTTGCGTGAAAGTAACACGACTTGCCTTTTTTTCCGTTTTGGATTTTTTATGAATTTAAAAAATAAAAACATTTAATATTTTAGGAAAAAAATATTTTTTTTCTTCATACATTTATTTTTACCGGCAAAACTGTTGATTATATAGAAAAACGTTATATGAACAGATTAAAGAAATTGTAATTTTTTTTTATTTTTGTTATTTTTTTAAATTTGTTTGAGCAAAATCGGACTAGTGGTTCTCGAGTTAAGTCAAAAAAAATACCACCAAAGGTGACAATTTCCCCTATATGATAGTTACTAACTTCAAATCGATATATCTCGATTCCTAGACGTGACCCAGCGAAACGCCGGGACACGTATAACTTCTTTTTTACCGATATAACTTTCCCCGGTAGTTTGAACCCTTCCCGATCACTGACCCCTACCATTTGTCTCACAGTGTAATAGATTGGCGCTTACACAATATGTTAATGTTTGGTCGAGCTTCTCCTCCGATTTGCGGCGTGCATATTGATGTTGTCAAAGGGAGGGACCTTCAGCTTTACGTCGACTCCTAGCAGCGATTGGATTTTTTGGAAAAGCTGTTTTTCAATCAGAAATACACTCGGAGGTTTGCCATTGTCTGCCGTGGGCCCACCTTCATTAGAAAACAAATTTGTCGATCCCAGTAGAGATGCCGTTTTACATCTATTAAACAGAAGATCGATTAATCGACCCCTTCACATTCGATCTATTGTCGATTTTTTGGATCGATTCACAGATCGGTTTTTTCCAATTGGTATATACGGTTTTCCCTAGAAAATCTATAAATAAGGGGGGCTTGGCTCCACCCAACTTTCCAGCTAGAGAAAGCATAGACAA